CTTATTTATCTTTCCCTTTTCTTTTTTTTTTTAGATTTTCCAGGAAAAACTCATTCTTTGAGAGTTTCAAAACCCGAGCCTGACTTCCTATTTGTAAAATGTTTAATATATATATATATATATATATATATATATATATATATATATATATATATATATATATATATATATATAAAATTTAAAAAAAAAAAGAAAATTTATATTTTAATTTTTTCTTTCTTCCTTTTTTTTTTATGATAATGTTTTTTACTTTTTCTTTTTCTTTATTTTGTTCGAAGCAAAAAACATTTTTTTTTTTTTATCTGTTTGATTAAATTAAATTTCATTTCTAAAAGGTTTTTCGGCCTGAAGAGATGAATATTTAAACACAAGAAGAAAAATATATTATAACCGAGAAAATTTTTGAAAAAGTATTTTCAACATTAAATATATATATATTTATAAATATATATATATATATATATAGTATACTCGCAAAACATTTACAAATACCAGACATTAAATCCATCCTTATCTCTTTATAATTATTGTGCATTTTTCATACAACCAACAGACGCAATTTCAGAAATTCTTTATATAAATAGCATAAAATGCTTAACGAATATTTTATGGGGAATTAAAATTGGGATAATACATTAAATTTTCCATTTCACATCAAATGGAAAATAGAAAAAAAAAAACAGAACAAGTTATTTTCTTTCAAAAATTGGAGACGTATTGGGAGTCAACGAGAGCGATAATCTGCCATTTTTTAGGCTGTTTCTGTTTCATAATAAAATTTAAGTTCAGTTCGAACTTTTGATGTCGCTATTTCCTTTCTTAACTCGTTCCTTAAATAATCTAAGATACAAAATGACGAAATTTGTATTAAATGGTCGACGCTAAATTGGTCATATCTATCCTGAAACTAAAATACAATAATACCACTATTTTTTATAGAATACATGAAACGTTAACATGTCCAAATTTTAAATATGACTTCAGAGGGTTGAAAGGGGTGAGATCTTATATGACAACATTGATAAATAGGCGCCCATCTCATTTCCTAGTTGATGTCTTCCCAACAATGAAAAACAGGGAAATACAGAACTTTTACAAATTTGTCTTTCTGTCTTGAAAATTGTCTGATTTTTTTTAAATAGCATGTCTTTAGACTTCCGGTGAATCTGTTCACATTAACATTCAATTAAATGAACCTCGGCGGCCTTAGTTGCTGGCTGTATAAAGAAGCAGCCAGTTCGCCACTCGACGGTATATATATATATATATATATATATATATCATTGAATAATATATACATATATATATATATATATATATATATATATGAAGAAACGTTTGTTTTAATATGTATTTAAATGTGCAATGCATATCAACGCGAATATATATGTGTATTTAAATGTGCAATGCATATCAACGCGAATATATATAGATATGTAGATATATAGAGAGAAAATTGGAAATAAATATACTAATAAATACTGTGTTTTGAATATGCAAAAATGCATGTTACTACGATATCTATCTATCTATCTATCTTGCCTACAAAAGAAAAAAAATATTACGTCCCAAGAACTCACGAGTTTCAAAAAACTCACCAATTGTCTGTCTTATTCAACCTTAATATTCTTGAAATAGGATTCCGAAATTAACTTCGGAAATGGATCAGTATATTAATCGGTATAAAATGTCTGTTGTCATCAATATTTGTATAAATTTAAATTTTTGCCAAAATACACAGAATACACACACACAAATGACCTGATGAATAACACATAAATATTAATTCATATATATATAAATTATAAATAGATATCCACGATTTATTTTGCCATGTTTTTCGTAGAATGATTATTTTATTCCCAGGTTTTTTGTTCAGACGATATGAAAAGAATTCACTTTCGTCCTGAAAAAAAAAAAAAAAAGAATTTTCTATATTATTTAATTTCTTCCCCATTAAATGAAAAAAACCTGCCCCCCCCAACAAGACCTATTATATATATATATATAATATATATATATATATATATATATTTGAGAGAATCACTTGAAAAGTTCACCAAAAGGAAAGTGTTTTAAAACAAAGCAATCTGTAAAAATAAATAAACAACAAAGAAAAAAAAAAAAGGCAATGTGTATTTAAATGTAAAATGTTGCGTTCTCGTAGAATGGTTCGTGGCATTTTTTTTTTTAAAAGGATGGATTCAAGAAAAAATTATTTACTTATGATGAGTCGGTGTTGTTCAATTTTATTATATATATATTTTTTTTAACTGAAATATTATATATAAAGGAAAATATATAAAAAGGAATACATGACAGACAAGTAATTCAACACCTATTGTCAGACGCTCTCGAAATTTAGAAATGGAATTTCCAGATGCTCTGTTTCAAATTCTACAAAAGATGGAAGTCTACAAATGTGTATATAGAGTTTTGTATCAGTGTTTGTGCGGAAATTTATACGCCT